GATTGAACTCGGGGACACTCAACCACTGAGCTGTTTTATATTTTATTTAGAGACAGGGTCTCACTGAGTTGTTTAATGCCTCCCTGTAGCTGAGGTGGGCTTTTTTTTTTTTTAATATTTATTTTTTAGTTATTGGCGGACACAACATCTTTGTTTGTATGTGGTGCTGAGGATCGAACCCGGGCCGCACGCATGCCAGGCGAGCGCGCTACGACTTGAGCCACATCCCCAGCCCTGAGGTGGGCTTTTAATTTGTGATCCTCCTGTGTCTCAGCTTTCTCAGATGCTGGGATTACAAACATGCGCCACCACACCTGGCTAATTTTTTTTTATATTTATTTTTTAGTTGCAGTTGGACATAATACCTTTATTTTATTGATTTATATGCAGTGCTGAGGATTGAACCAAGGACACCACCCCGCTAGGCAAGCGCTCTACTGCTGAGCACAACCCGAGCTCCCTGGCAAAATTTTTAAATTGTGCATTTTACTGTTCTCTTTTAAGGGAACAATGAACAATGTTCCCTTAAATGAACAAGAGATCACTCAGAACTAAGCATTTCATCCTAAAAAAAAATGTATTTCATGCTTTAAAGTCTGACTTCATTTAATTTTAGCTGCATGTCTTCAAGTCTTAACTCTGATTTTATAAAGGAACCTGAAAAACTGGGTACAGTGTGCATACCTGCAATCCCAGGGCTCAGGAGGTGGAGGCAGGAAGGACTGCAAGTTCAAAGCCAACCTCAGCCACTTTGTGAGGCCCTATGGTAGGTCTGGATCTCTTATGGGAGTAAAGAAGGCCCCCTGCTGTTTGCCCCAAATTTCTAGCTCAGCTGGCTGAATGTTCCTACTCAGAGAAGAGCAGCTTACATGACCGCACCCCACTGGATGGTATAACAATTTTACAAAGCAGACTTTTTAAAAAATCAAGGATAACTTAAACTTGTAAATTAAAATTAATAAATAAAATGGGGGGGGGGCTGGGGATGTGGCTCGGGATGTGGCTCCAGTGGTAGCATGCTTGCCTGGCATGCGTGCGGCCCGGGTTCGATCCTCAGCACCACATACAAACAAAGATGTTGTGTCCGCCGAAAACTAAAAAATAAATATTAAAATTCTCTCTCTCACTCTCTTAAAAAAAAAAAAAAAAAAAGAGGGAAGAATGTGTTGAAATAAACAGGGAAGAGAGGCTTGGTGCAAGGTGTAGTAGCTTTTTATTAATCACTTTTTAAATTTGTTCTAATTAGTTATAGATGACAGTAGAATGGGTTTTTTTTTTTAAGGACTGAACCCAGGAATGCTCCACCATTGTGCAACATCCCCAGCTCTTTAAAAGAAAAAAACTTTTAGTTGTAAATGGACACAATAACATTATTTATTTTTACTTAGTGCTGAGGATCGAACCCAGTGCCTCATACATGCTAGGCGAGTAAGTGCTCTACCATTGAGCAACAACCTCAGCCCATCCCCAGCCCATTTTATTTTTTGTTGTTTTGAGACAGGGTCTCGATAAATTGCTGAGCCTGGCCTTGAACTTTTAACACCCTTCAGGCGTGTGCCACCATGCCCAGCTTCTGGTCCATGTATTTTATAGGTGCAATTTTTTATACCTTTATTTATTTATTTATTTATATGTGGTGCTAAGAATCAAACCCCATGCCTCATACATGCTAGGCTAGCACTCTACCACTGAGCTAAAATTGAAGCCCCTGGCCCATGTATTTTGACAGCAATCCAATATGAGGTGTCTGAGGGACACCACAAACATTAAGAAGGCAGCACTGGAGCTTCCAGCTGACCAAGCAGATGTCAGACAAAGACAGTTACAGAGTCCAGTTGTTTACAGTGAACAGCTATTTCCTCTCCTCACCAAGAATAATCTCGAGGCAAAGAATAGGCCCACATTCATTTTTCGACTGAGAACAAATTTTAAGGTCATGATTCCCTGACAAAGGCAGAATTTCACAGCACATGCAGTCAGCATTCAAAAGCCTCAATAAATTCTTTTCCTTCACATGAAGGACTTTAAAAGCAACCAAGGATGGCACACAGAGCTTCCTAAAGATAAGCTGAGGGATAAGAGCTACTGGCATTTCAGATGAGCAATCATCACACCCAGTCAGTTTCAAGTTTTCTGGGTTGGTCCTCGAATAACTCTTTCTGAGTTTTAGGGTAGGTGTTTCACCTGTGGCTCTTCTGCAGGTCAGTGTCATTCATTCATATATATATATATATAAATAGTTTTTACGGGGCTGGGGATGTGGCTCAAGCGGTAGCGCGCTCGCCTGGCATGCGTGCGGCCCGGGTTCGATCCTCAGCACCACATACAGACAAAGATGTTGTGTCCGCCAAATACTAAAAAGTAAATATTAAAAATAATAATAATAATTTTTAGTTGTAGACAGACATAATATCTTTATTTTATTTATTTACACATGGTGCTGAGGATCAAACCCAGTGCCTCATTCATGCCAGACAAGTACTCTACCACCGGGCCACAACTCCAGCCCCATTCTTGTCCTTACATTAAGTGAGTGTGGTGGGAAGCAATAGCTGTTTGGAAGATAAAGTGTAACTCTAACTCAATGACTTCTGATCATCCCTACAAGGTCAGAGGCCCTCAGCTTTGATTTACCTCTTTACCACTTTTTAAAAAATAACTTTCATTAAAAAGAAGTAAAGTACATGGCCGCACATATATACATTTCCCACATCCAGGGGTTGTCAACACACAGCCAGCACACTACTCCTGTACACTCCATCTCTTGATGATTCTAACATCTGTTTCACTTTTGAGGAAACTCACTTCGATTCTCAGCATCGCTTCCTAGTTGTTGGTTAGGAGACTGCTCCGTCTTTTCTTTTGCTTGCTTCTTCTTTTTTTTTTTTTTGTGAGGCATTCTGAAAGCCTATCCATGAAGAATTTTACAAATGAAAATGGGAACAAAATATACCAAGTCTGTAGGTTTTACATAAACCAATTCTGAGTGAGACATACAGAAGACTCAAAAACACCTGTGCAGACTGTAGCTCATCTATTTCTTCTTTCTAGCCCCTCTTTTCAATGGCCAACACTTTATGTCATATTCTTAGGACTTCTCACTAGAATTTCTAAAGCCCTCTCAAATCTTCCTAAAATATGTCTTGGTCATGTTATTCCCCTGCCTATCATTCTGGAATGGCTCATCACCATTTTAAAATAAAAACTAACACCTGGATTATTTTGAGGTCTTTTCACTCTTGGCTCCTGTCTATCTCTCCAGTGTCATCTCCCCAAAGCCCACACCATGTTTGTCCCAATTCTGCTTCCTCTAGTCACACTGCTGTTCTGGACACACCATTTTATCTGTCCTTCTTCCTCCACTCACTCCTACTCCACCTTCAAAGCCAATACATGCCTCACATCCACCAAGGCCTCATGCCCTCCAGCTTAGGGGCTCCTTATAGCTCTGGACTCTGAGTAGCTGGGGAGATCTCCTTCAGGCTGTTAGAAAGCTGAGAGCAGACACTTATTTTATTGCCTTTGTTTCCCAAGATCAAAAGCACAGCAGAGGTGAGAAATAAAATAAACATAAACACATGTCTGAATAAATGTTCAATTATAGGGCTGGGGCTGTAGCTCAGTGGTAGAGCACTTGCCTCGCACATGTGAGGCACTGAGTGTGATCCTTAGCACCACATAAAAACAAATAAAGATATTGTGTCCATCTACAACTAAAAAAATAATTTAAAAAATGTTCAGTTCTAGTTAAGCTCTGAAGAGCCATTCACTAGAGCATTAATTAACTATTTTCTTTGAAATCTACAGCTTGCAGGAGCAGATGAATTACGAGTGGATTAGAAACAGGGCACAAGTCAGATGTGACTACCTGACACTTACACCTTCTCTAGAGTAAGAGTACCTTGACAGTCCTTGGGAGAATCCATTTTCCCACATGCCCAGTGTGGTTTCGTTGGGACTAACCCTTTCCCACTCAAGGGAGGATGGAGGGCTCCTTACCAATGTGTGGTTAACTAATTAGATTTACAGAAATTTAGAGCCCAAATGAATGAAGCCCAGAACTTCAGCCAGAATTACAGAAACTGGAGTTTTCCCACAGGATGGGATGGTAAGTGGTACAGTGGTTTTAAACTATTTTCACAAACTCTTTGTTAAGTCTCCCTTCAGAAGGTGGAGTCCCTTGTACTTAAGAATAGAGTGCACAGGCTCCAAAACCAGGTCATAAAAAGTATAGTGGTTTCCACCTCCTCCCTACCACCCCACCCCCCACCCCCCAGGGCCCCCCCCTTCTCTCTCAGCTGTCCTAAGGAAAGGCCCTGAGGCAAGTCAGGGACTCCAGCCACCAGCCCTGTGGGAGAGCCATCCTGCAGTTAGACTCTCCTGGGACTGTCAGCTGGGCAGGGAAACTCGGAACGCCTAACCCACAGAAACTTTGATACACAGCAGCAGATAACAGCACAGGAGCCTGAGAAAAGGCCAACAGAGAAGAAACAGTAGAGGGGGTAAGCAGGCGACACCCCCCCACACCCACAATACCAAACCCTGGTCTCTCCCACGCTCCTGGGCTTCCCCTCCGCAGTGGCAGCTGGTTCATGACCCCGCCGCCCCGAGTCTGCCAAGGGAGCAGCAAAGACTGCAAGCCGATGAGGCGCCAGCAGACCCCCGCCCCAGCGGGCACGCCGGGTGTCCACGCCTCTGCCCTGCACTTTCTCTTCTGCACCTCCGGGGTCCGCTCCTTCACCTATCATCGCAGCGCCCGGTAGAGCGGATGCAGTGCAGGGCCGATCCGGACTCCGCGGGCCCCGCGACCCGAGCGTCAGGCGGTCAGCGGACGCGCAGGCCCGAGGGCGATGACCTCTCTGCTCCGGGTGCTCGGGCCAGCCTGAGGAGGCCGGTCACCAGGCGGCGCGCCCCGCCCGCGGTCCCGCGGCCCCGCAGCCCGGTGCTCGACCGGGCCGCTCCCACCAGAGCGAAGCCGCGTGCGCGAGACATCGGGTTACCTCAGATCGGGGCGCGGCACACTCGGGGCTCCTCGCACACTACTATGAAAGCTGGCTCATGCGCCCGATCCCGAGACAGCGATCCGCCACCGGGAAATGCCGCACGGCGGAGACCAAGGCGCCAGGACTGGGTCCTAGAGTAGTGGCTCTCCCCGCCGCAGGCCCCGCCCTAGAAACGCCCATTCCCGCCGTACGCCCCGCCCCGTCACACGCTGACCCCGCCTATCAAGCCTGTAGGCTCTGCCCCGCAGCAAGTTACCCCCACTGCGGGCCCGTTCAGACCCCGCCCACCCCGCTGTCGGCCCCGCCCCACCCACGCAGGCCCCGCCCCGCGCCAGCCTCTCAGATCCCGGCTGCGGGTCTCCTTATCTTCGCAGGCCCCGCCTCAACCGCAAGCCAAGCTCCCGCCCCCGCCGCAGAACGCGCCAGCCTCTGAGGCCCCACCCACTATGCATCACTTCCGTCCTGCGAAAGGGTCTCTGGAACTGCCCCGCCAGGCGACCTGCGTCGGTAGCTAAGCAACACGGCGCGGCTCCCTTGATCCTCCGCAGCCAACCCCCGGGGGAACCCGGCGCTGTGGTGGAGCGTTGCTTCTCTTTGGACCCGAGTGTGGTTGCGCGCGGGTGGCCATACTGGTCTAAACCATGGGGCTCGGTCTCAGCTTGTACCGACTGACCCCACCCGGCGCCGGTGGCTCTGGCCATCCCCCGCCACACCAGCTTCGGCAGGCAGGAAGGCATGTGCCAGGTCTCGGTGGGCTCGTCTCGGTTCTGCGGTCGCCGATGCCTCGGGCAGCGTTCCTTTTCTGATCACTCCCGCTGGTACCTTCCATCCCTGCCCTGTTGAGTGCATTTCTTTTTTCTGTAGTGCTAGATTCTGTCCAAGAAGCGTCGTGCGAATACTGTTGGTGGCGTCTCTTCACTGGTATCTTTTTTTTTTTTTTTTAAAGAGCGAGAGAGAGAGAGAGAGAGAGAGAATTTTTTAATTTTTATTTTTTAGTTTTTGGCGGACACAACATGTTTGTTCCTATGTGGTGCTGAGGATCGAACCCGGGCTGCAAGAATGCCAGGCGAGCGCGCTACTGCTTGAGCCACATCCCCAGCCCCTCTTCACTGGTATTTTGATGAACGAGGATTTATTTTAATATAGACAAAGATGTCAAACTTTTATGGTTGGCACTTTCTGGTCTTGTTTAAGAAATCCTTCTCTAAAAAGGGCATGGTGGTGTGCCGCATTCTGGCTGGGCACAATTCAGGAGCCACTTGTCAAAAGAAAGGAACTTTATTTTTAGAACCACAGGCCAAACAAAACAGCTCCTCAGGAAAAACCTTCAGAGCCCAACTGCCACCACCAGCTTCCCACAAGCCTCTCCACCTCCCACAATCCTCCTGCTCTTGAGGCTGATTGGCTGGGTCACATGGGCGGAGCCAAAAAAGTCCCCCAATGAGCAGCTCCCTGGTCTGAAAGGGCAGGGAAACAGCCCAATGAGCATCACCGCAGAGGAGCCAATCAGCTAGATGTTGCTGGGGCGCTGTGAGCCAATCATCAGCTGGCAGTCTGAAAATTTGCTGGGGCCCCTTAGGCTGTGGCTCTCAACATCTCCCCCTCTCTGTTTAAACAACAAGCATGTGGCTTAGGGACTGTATCTGCCTTAGGTTGTCCAATAGTACATATGGTCCTTACCCGTTATGGGATGAACTGACCTCAAGGCGTCAGCCTCCTGTCTTAGGTTGGTACCATTGTAATTGGATCTTACCCGTCACTGACTACCTGTCCAGTATACAGCCACACCTGTGGAGAGGTCTTTGTGGGGGGGGGGGCTGAGGTTCTTTGCCTCACCTCTGTTGGCCCCCAGATTTTAGCTGAACGATCATGACAAGCAGAAGGGAGAAAGATACACCAAGTCAATTGACGGCTCCTTTTGGAAAAATTGTACCACCGATGACATCATCAGCAGAAATACCCCAACACTACCACAAGTTGTTGCACCAACAGATAGTTCACAATGCATACAGGTGAGTTCACAATGCATACAAGTGATACATAGTCCAGGCAAGTTCTGCAAGCAGTTCAGTGATGGCTATTGCAGAAGTTGTAGATTGGTTTTATCTTTGTCTTCACCGGCACTGGGATGAAGATAGGAATTCTGGCAATAATGGCTAAAGAAAAAAGTATGTAACATTCCAGAAGGCACTAAAAGAAAACAATTTTCTTAACAATTTACATTATCTTGAAGAGAATTATTAAATATAATGAAAAGGAAAGGTGAAAGTAAACAAACAGATCTGTTAACCTCCTTTTTTGTTCACATATTAAAACAATACTCAACAGTTGTTTACCCAATTTAAATTAAACCATTTAAATCACGTGAATAAAAAAAATTTGGATCCATTTTTTCATGAGAGCTCATCATATATGATATATGGACATATGTACATTCAAACATATAACACAAAACACAAGTGTGCACACATAATATAATACATACAACACATAACATAATAGTAAAGGCCTTATAACTTTTTACAGGTGAAATCTCCATTGCAATGTTTAAAACCTCTATAGTCAAAAAATAGAACTGATCAGCAAAACATTAACCTAGGTCTGTATGAGCTCAAAAAACAAAATAGAACTTCATGATGTGGGAAAGGGCAATAATAAAATAGATATTGAAAAAAGCATCCTGGTTCTGTCGCAGATGTAAGGATAGCCAAACTGGAGTTTTGGATATCAGCTGTTATGGATTTGAGCCAAATCATCTTCTTTTTGGTCTGTAGAAATCGCTTTAGTCAATCTCTCTGGAATCCAAATCGGCTGCTGTTCTCCCTGTGGAAACACATAAACAGACCTCCGACTCCAGGCAATCACTGGGTCAGGACCTTAGTTAATCTCTCTGGAATCCAAATCGGCTGCTGTTCTCCCTGTGGAAACACACAAACAGACCCCCGACTCCAGACAATTACTGGGTCAGGACCTTTCCATTGTCCTGTTAGAATATCCTTCCAAAGTACCTTGGGCTTATGCACATTTTTTGGACACATATGCCGTTCCGCAGCACTAAGTCCTGATGAATCCAAATTTAAAAAGTTGAGAGTAAAAAGGGTTATTTTAAGTTTATCTTTGGGGAATATATACCCCTTCCCAATTCCTTCTTTTTGCTTTAATAAGTACATTTTAATAGTTTGATGAGCTCTTTCAAGTATGCCTTGTCCCTGTGGATTGTATTGGATTCCTGTTACATGAATAATGCCAAATGATGAGCAAAATTGTTTAAAAGAGGTAGAAGTATAACCAGGGGCATTATCTGTTTTTAACTGTTTTGGAATGCCCACAGTGGCAAAATTTTGTAAGCAATGAGCTATAACATCTTTAGTTTTTTCCTCCGGCATGAAGGGAGCCCATCAAAAATCCAGAAGAAGTATCAACTGTAACATGCAAATATTTTAATTTTCCAAATTCTGGCAAGTGTGTGATGTCCATCTACCAAATATGGTTAGGTATCAATCCTCTAGGATTGATTCCAAGATTAACTTGTGGTAAAAAGGTCACACAATTTTGACAGTGTTTTATTATGATGTTGAGAGCCACAGCCAAAGGGGCCCCAGCAAACTTTCAGACTGCCAGCTGATGATTGGCTCACAGCGCCCCAGCAACATCTAGCTGATTGGCTCCTCTGCGATGATGCTCATTGGGCTGTTTCCCTGCCCTTTCAGACCACGGAGCTGCTCATTGGGGGACTTTTTTGGCTCCGCCCACACGACCCAGCCAATCGGCCTCAAGAGCAGGAGGATTGTGGGAGGTGGAGAGGCTTGTGGTTGAGAGAGAGGCTTGTGGGAAGCTGGTGGTGGCAGTTGGGCTCTGAGGGTTTTTCCTGAGGAGCGGTTTTGTTTGGCGTGTGTGGTTCTAAAAATAAAGTTCATTTCTTTTGACAAGTGGCTCCTGAATTATGCCCAGCTAGACTGCGGCATTTGGTGGCTCACACGGGGAGCGACTGAGGGTAAGTGATAAGGTAAACTGCTCCCCCCTGAGGGCAGGGCGAGAGGATGGGTAGCCATTTTAAGATTCCTCTTTTGTTTTGCTTTACTTTTGTTTTAAGTTGCCTGTCCCTGGAGATGAGTGAGACGGAAGAAAAACCACTCACATCTGAGGAAAAACTATTTACATCTGAGGAACAGATAGGGAGAAAGGACAGATGCACATGTCAGGAGGATAGAAAGGCTATAATGACTTTTTGTTGTTCCCTTTTTATTTCATTCTGTCTCGGTTTTGTTTGGCATCATCTTGTTGGGTTGTATTATAGTAGAAATACGGGATCAAAAATTAGTAAAAAACAAACTGAAAGAGTGTTAAGTAAATTGTTAGAGGAAGGAGGCATCTCAGTAAAATCAAGAACAGTCAGGGCATACGTTGATACAATACAAAAATGTAGCCCATGGCTTTTTAAGGAGGAGTTGTTAAATATATCACAATGGAACCATCATGGTGAAGATTTAAAAAGAATAGAAAAGAACAGCCCAGGGACTTTGCCAGTTGGCACATTGCCATTGTGGACGTTTGTATCTGGTTTGCTTAGTCCAAAGCCTTCAGTTCAGACAAAGATAGAGGAAGAAAGCTTAGAGCAGAAAAAGCCATCAGGGGGGAAGTTACAAAAGGAGACTGCTACTAACAACTTTCTATTACCAGAGGGCGTAAGTGTCCAACCAACAGCGCCACCTCTACAGGAGACTGCTACTAACACCTTTCTATCACCAGAGGACGTAAATGTCCAACTAACAAGGCCACCTCCATATGCTGGGAGGCCCCCAACCCCCGCAGTTGATAGTTCGGATCCTGAGACAGAATCTCAAGTATTAACATGCCCTGTATTTGAGGTAGGAGGGCAGCGAATTCACCATGCTTTAAATTTCAAAATAGTGAAGCAGCTAAAAGAGGCTGTAACAACCTATGGTCCTCAAGCACCCTTCACTGTAAGCTTGGTCGAATCCATTAACAACTTGAACATGACGCCAGCAGATTGGGCTAATATGTGTAAAGCTGTGCTAAATGGAGGTCAATATCTGTTAGGAAGGTTGCCAATGAGGAATTTTGCAAGGAGACGGCTAGGCAAAATGCAGCAGCTGGTTATCCTCAGAGAAATCTAGATATGTTGTTAGGAAAGGGACCTTATGA